TTCATAACATGCAGGAAAACACAGAACGTTTCTTTAATAAACTTAGGTATATTTTTTCATGTAATAAATTTTTCCAATGAAATGAATTTCCATCATACTAAATTTAACAATATATTTGTATTACAATCTACCAAAATTACTGTTATATTCTTCTCTACCTTTTTCAGCATATGGTTTGCAACCTTTTAATTTACATGCATAATTTTCATCTTAATTCCTGAATTCAGAAAAACAGCTGTTTTGCAAGAATAACTAGTGCTTATAAAATCTCAAAATTAGTAGTCTTTACGATTACCTTTCAAGGACATTCATTCATCTCTTCATAAACCTCCCATTCCATTTATAAAATGTTTAGTAAAGTAACTGACATGGAATAAAAAGATGACAAGCACCATCTATACAGATGCATAGCCCGTGGCCCGCCAAGACCTTTTCAAACTTTTGTTGCGATTTGACGTATTAGTTGTCTCTAGAAGGGGTTGCGAGCAAAAACATTTCACCACACCCCTTCATTACTCATTCTATTCTGTCACCTCGCAGTGAGATTTGGCACTGAGATAAGTTCCCGGCATTAACCAAAGCACGTATCCACTGCATGAACACGAAAATTGTTTCTAGCCTGTAGGACCAACACCTTTAGAAGATTGAGAAAGAGTCTGTGGTGTGATGTAGCATGAGTGTTGTGCGCTAGTAAAGTGGAAGAGAAAGATATTTGCTCGGATCTGAAGTGGTGCATTGATTTGCTTGCCATCGTTTCTCTTTTGGCTTCATGACTATACATTGTTTTATCACGTGTGTTTATTTTTCTTTTCAAGACCATTAAGAAGTTTCATGTTTTGAATATTACATTTTTCTATTTAAATATTATTTTGAAAGTGGAACCAACATAGAATTTTTGCAATTTTTATTCCACGAGGTTTTGATAGTTGCCATGATGAATGGATGCAAAAAAAAAAAAAAAAAGTTAGCGGATGATAACAGGAAATTTTCGGAGGCCTGGACTTTGTGGAGCAAAATAATAGAATTACATGCTTGATATGTAATTTTACGATAAGTGTTTGCAAGGAGTATAACATTAAGTGATACTAGGACACAAAACAGTCAACATTTCCAAAGCTTGGGGGAGAGGATCGAAATCGTAAAATTGGATACCTTCACCTTTCTCTTGTTGCTCAAAGGAATGTACGAGGGTCAGTCAAAAAGTTAGTTGCACTGCCTAAGAAAACAAAACAGGAGTAAAATTTTACAATAACTTTATTTATATCTTAAAGTTCCATTCAAAATCTACTTTTCAACATTATTACCTCCGTTAAAGTATTTTTCGAGGCGTGGTACAAGTTTTTTGATGCCTTCTGCAAAGAAATCCCGTCCAATGTCTGATAACCATTATTGGGCTGCAGCTTTCACTTTAGCATCCGAATGGTACCTCCGCTTTAAAAATTCTTGTTTCATGGGACCAAACATGTAAGTCAGGAGGTGAAAGGTCTGGGCTATAAGGAGGGTGATTCCACACTTCCCACTTAAAATGTTTCAGAATCGCATGTTTGTTTTGCTGGATTTTGTCTTGCATTGTCATGCAGGAACACAGTGCCTTTTGATATTTTACGTCGCCGTCGATTTTTAAGTGATTTCTGCAATCGTTTTGATATTTCACAATAAGAAACAGATGAAACAGTTTGACACGTTGTTCGTGTCAGGGAATTGCAATGTTTTCACTTGAGCGAGCTGCGTTTCATTTCAGGTGAGAAGTGGTGAATCCAAGTTTCATCTCCAGTCACAATTTTGTCAAAAAACTCATCCCCTTTTGTTTGGTAATGTTGCAGAAATGCAAATGCACTTTCAAAACGCTTTCCTTTATGTTCGTCCATCAATAGACGTGGCACCCATCCAGCACAAACTTTACAAAATTTAAGGTGATCGGCAATAATTTTATGCTTACTTCCATGAGAAATATCCAGTTCATTTGAGATTTTGTCTGTCGTTATGCATCTGTTTGCAAGAATGCATTCATTCACGTGAGCAGCAATTTCAGAATTTGTTGCAGTTCATCTTCCTTTGCGCTCAGCATCGTCAATATCTGTGCCTCCTTTCTAAAACATATTGCACCATTTTGCTTGACTTGACATTGCATTTTCACCAAACACTTCATGCAACTGCCCATAAATTTCAGTGCAGTTGCACCTTTTTGCCCACAAAAAACGAATCACTGCAAGCATTTCCAATTTGGACGCTATTTGCAGCTGTCGAGACATGTTTACGATTGATTATCAGAAAAACTAAACTTGCCTCAGGGAAGCCGCTACGTCACGCGATAAAGGTACATGTCTGAAGTGTTGTCACACAGTATCATCCAAATAGTCTTAGATGGAACATATTTACGCAGTAGTGCAACGAACTTTCTGACTGACCTACGTATTTACAAAGGCATCTTCACAGTTAGATAACTTTGTTGAGGTTAGTTTGAGAATTGTAGCCTTAATTGCTAAAAGTTGCTGCCCATTTACTGATGGCGATTTTGCAAATGAATGTATATTGTTGGCTTCTGAGAAAGTATGCCCTGAAGTTACGAAAAAATTTTAAAATGTGAGTCTCAGCAGAAAGACAATTCAAAGAATTGAAAATTTATCTGATGATGTTACTGAACAGTTACAGAATGCGGCCACCAAATTTAAGTACTTTTCTCTAGCAGCTGATGATTCAACAGATATTATTACTTCAACAGCTCAACTTCTTTTGTTTTTCAAAGGAATTTCTGAAAATTTTGAAGTAACTGAAGAACTTGTTGGAATGAGTTCAATGAAGGGGCAAACAACTGGGAACTGATATTTTATCCTCAGTTTTAAATTTGTGTTCTGCACATAATTTTGATACGAACAAACTTGTTAGTTTCACTACTGATGGACCTCTAATCATGATTGAAATTCAGAATGGCATGGTGAGTCTACCGAGAAACCATTTAAATGATAGAGGAAAAGATTTGCTTGGGTGTCATTGAATCATACACCAAGAACAGCTATGGGTGAAAGAACTAGGATTTGACCGCCTAATGAAGGTAGTGAGCGATACAACCAATTTTATTCGCTCACATTGTTTAAACCACAGGCAGTTTAAGGAAATCCTAGAACAACTTTCAAGACATAGTGATCTCATGTATTACACTGAAGTATGATGGTTGAGCCGTGGAGAGGCTTTGAAAAGGTTTGCTGATTTGATTCATGAAATAATACCATTCCTTGAAGAAAATAGCAAGCAAACTAGGATGTTCTTTCAAATGTGACTTAGCATTTTTAGTTGATGTGAGATTTTTAGTTGATCCATCTGAATGATCTAAACAAAAAATTGATGGGTAAAAACCAATTCATCAATGCAGCATCTGCTTTCAAACTAAAACTCCAGCTATTCTCAAAGCAGCTTAACTGTCAAAATTTTGTCAATTTTTCTTACCTGAAGAAACTCAAATAAAATTTTCCTGATAAAAATGAGATCAAACAATTCAGATCAAGTAAAGAAGCTGCTTATTTCTTTTGAAAAGCAATTTGCAGACTTTGAGTTGCATAAGGTTAAATTTAAACTGTTCGGGTATCCATTTTCTGTTGTAGTCGAAGAAGCTCCAAAAGATGTTGAAATAGAACTCGTCGACTTAAAAACTTCTGACTTGTGCAAATCCAAATTCTGTGACTGGACTTTTATTGTGACTACTTATTATTCTGGACTTTTATTGAACTCTACCTGTCAAATTTTTGCGCTTAACAAATAATGCAGGAAGATGTTTGTAAGCACTTATATATGTGAACAAACATTTTCTCTCTGAATCTAAATAAGTCAAAATTAAGAAATAAACTGACAGATCAACATTTGCAATCTGTCTTAAGAATATCAACAACTAACTTTCAACCAAATATATCAAAAATACCATAAACTGTATTTTTTTTCAAGCTGAACTGTGTGTTTTGACCCCAGTAGCACATGCAAGGGAAAAGCGTATGGGAGATTATGGAAAATATTTTCCATATGCTATTGGCCTTCAGCAACGAACTTGTTTCTATTAGTGGCCCTTCTGCTAAAAAGGTTGTACATCCCTAATCTAGGCATTGAATTATTTCTAATGTCATCATTTGAAGCATTCTGGCATATTAAGAGATTGTCTCCTGGAGATCTTGATAAGAAAAAAAAGGGGGGAAATATAAGACAGCTTTATACTCTTTTAGAATGGGCATATGTTTTCCTTTCAAAAGTACAAAATGTCTACAAGTATTTAGTATTGTCCCATTGTCTTTTTACTCATCTGCAGCCACTAGTTGCAGTAGATTGTCATAGATACCAGAGGTGAACTCCACAAATTTCTCCCTTCTCAGTTTCTTTTAAAATTTATTTTTAGTCTTATCAGTATTAAGAAATTCCATATTTAATTTGCTTTTACTTATAGTCCAAGAAATTGATAGAGAAGTATAACATTGAAATATATTTCAAAATTGATAGAAGACAGTAAGTAGCAATTAATTATTATACATTTTGTAGCACATGCCTTTTACCTTCATAAGTTAACATGCAAACACAAGAGTACACTATGCTATTTCTCATCAGTTACTTTTCAGGGATTAAAATTAGTGGAAAACTGAGTGAAATGCATTAGTAAATGTGGTAATCTGTAAATCATTAACTTAATACATTTACAAAAATCATATTTTATGACTAAAATGTTTCTTTTATCATGTTTGTAAAAATCTTAATTTTGCTATGATATGCATATCATTACAATATAAGCATAGTTTTATTATGCTTGAATGCATTGAATTTTAGGAATTTGATAGTTACCAATATTTTATTTAAAATGTGAACACAATAAACAAGGCTGGCATTGCTCTTTTATTATTTTTCCAGATTATTTTCGCATTAATTAACAGAAACCTCTTATTTAACGATTTTTCTGTCAGTATTTCACATGAACTAATGTTAAGTATATTTGTAAATAGGTAGTGATTATATTTTTTAAATTTTAGATACTACGCCAGCGTCGTACATTAACTTCATATTTTCCTAAATATTATCCATTGTATCCATCAAGCCAAACGGTAAACATTTGTGTTTTCCCTTTTGTAATATTATTTTTTGCAAGTCTTCTTTTTTCATTAGTTTACATTTATGAATTTTATGTCTATATGATTATTAGTGGTAGTTGATAGATGTTTAAAAATAAAATATATAAGTATGTATAATTCCTTTCCTATGCTGTTCTTCAAGAAAATATTTTCTCAGGACATTTTTTTTTATTTGAACTAATCCATGCCTATGATATAGCGACCAAGAAATAATTTGCAAATGGTCTAATCGGTTACATTCATTTAATATAAACTTTATAAATTTTTTCTTTGATTTATACTTTTGAAATGTTCATATCTTAATGAAGTATGCTTCATTGATGAAAGGAAAAACAGTGGCATTCGTATCTTTAGTTTCAAAATTTCCTCATTTTATTGAAGATTGTTTTATTTATTTATTTTTTCATTTTGAAATTTTCTTAATTCATTTTGCAATTTAAATGTTTGAGATTTATCTCCCAGTCAAACTTTTCCGATATGAAGAATAGTTTCAGTTTCTCCCAGTTCTACTATTTAAATTTGAAAATTTAATTTCCACGGAATGAAAACTAAGACACACACACATAGTGGACCCGAAAGAATTGTGCTGATTTGAATTAAAATTATTATATCTTTCTACAGGTAATTGTGATATTCACGCTGCAAAGGAGTTTGATTCTATTTCCACTAGCTATCCAAAAATTTATAGTTAACTGAATGATATATTGGTGATAATATACTTTGTATCAACTTCAGTTCTCAGTATCTGCCGTCTAAGAAAAGTGCGGTTTTTAAAATTCTGTCAATTTAATTTAACCTTCCCTTTTGCCCATTTGAATTCTGAGCTATTTCAATACCTTGACAGTGTTTAAACAATGCATTTTCCAAGTGTTTACATTAATATATACAGTACAAAGTCCATAATCCAGACTTGTCAGGACTTCGGCAATTCCGGATTATAGATCATCAATTTAAATCTGGTAAGATGGCATGCAGAAATTATACAATTAAAAATATGAAACCATAATTTATGAAATAAAGAGTAATTATGATCTAAAAGGTATCAAAATTTACAAAAAAAATTAATATTTATATTACTTTAGTAAACATTTTTTTCAATGTAAGTTGTTTAAGTTGCTTCATTTTTTGTGCTAATACTTTCTCTTTAATTCTATAAACAGGCACAATTTCTTATTCAGTTACAAAGTTCCACTGTTTAAGTCTTGTAATTGCTGTGTCGAGAATACCGACTAACTTGTCAATTGAAATTTTTTCGTTTTCAATAACGTTCTTTGTTACTTTCTTCACTATCGGAAGCACGCATGGGTAAACGCTGGCTTTACGTGCATGTGTAGTGGACACGCGCATTAGACGTGCATGCCTAAGTTTGTGGCTTTGAGATCCGGATTACGGACTCTGTACTGTATATTATATCTTTTCTTTTGTACACAATTTTTGATATTTTTCCGTTTTGAGGACCGTAAAAAAACTGCCGCGAAAATGTATGCGTAAAAATGCCAAATCTAGCAAACGCGCCCATTTAACAGCACGCCAAATCTAGCTTACGTGCTGATTTCAAATTGCGTAAGTGTAGATAATTCTATGTTTCTTAAGACGCCATTGAAGTACTAGTTTTATTTTTAAATCCTTTTTTGATATGCTATGGATTTAACAATTTGGGAATTACCCATAACCCAAAAGTCTGCAATAGAATTTTTTCAAAGAAAAGGCATCATTCATTACAGAAAATTATGTTTGAATAACCAATGAGATAAAAAATATGCTTTAGAGATAACTCTGTAGCGAAATGGCGATGCAGGAATCCATTCAGTTATGTTTAGCCTTTTTTTTTTATATAAATTATAATAATGATCTGAAAAAGTTATTTACTCTTATGCTTCCATTCAGTTATGTTTAGCTTTATTTATATAAATTATAGTAATAAAAAATAAGTATATGAAATTAACCTTTCATCTAAATTAAAACAGTAATCTCAGATAGTTATTTATTATTATACTTCCATTCTTGCATTAGGGTTGTCGCAATTATTTTTGGCGGCACTGTCATCAACAATAGTTTGTCAATATTATACGGTCCTCAAAACGGAATAGTACCCAATTTTTTAATAATAGCATTTTAAGACAAATTTGTTTTGAATATGTTTGCCATCATCAACATCTTTAAATATATATGAGTTTGATTAGCGTGTCTTGAGTATAAAAATTAACTTCAATGCAGCTTTAGTAAGTTAAAACCATGAAGTACTTAAATATCTTTTTTCAAAACATTACTTGAAGTTTAAATTATTTAACTGATGCATATTAGCTGATGCATGTTAATTATTCATTGAGTGATGAGCAATAATTCCAAGTTTTATAGCATAAACTATTGATGGGAAAAAAATGATACTATTAAAATACATGAAATAGGAATTTCTTTAAAACTTTAAAGTGGTAAGGTAAAATAAAATAAATCTAAAGTCATATATATAATAAATGAACAAAACACTGAGTTTTCTTAGTATATAATCCATGGAAAAAAAATTTGTGTTATCTTTGTTGTTTAAATTTAAAACAGTTGGTTAATGAACTAATGTAAATTATTTATTTTGTTATTTATGCTATTCATTTTCCTTTAAATGTGTTTATGTGAATTAATCTATAATTTTATCAGTGAAGAAATTTTTTTATAGTTGATAAGTCCTCATTACTGTGTGAATTTTAAACTGCTATTAAAAATTTATATTAACATTTATTAACCGAATAGTGCATAAAAAATTTTTCGACTTTTTGGATTTTCTTTTCCATGCTGTTGCAGTTTTTTCGGGAGAGGGAGTTGACCATTACATGCTCTGGTTTCCTGTAATTGCTTTCCTTTGCAATAAATAAACAAATCTTGCTAATTTTTGTAAATTATTTTTAGTCCAAAGGGATTTGAATCCCGAAGGACTATTAGTTTCGTTTTGGCATTTTGCGTCGGACGGATAAATGTCGGTTCACTTTTCAAACTGTTGCCATAAAATGTTAGAGTCCTGCATTATATTTGAAGAAATTTAAATAATGAAAATCTGCATAAATGTATGTATATTTCTCACATTGTCATAAAATAACGGTACATAGAGTCATCGAATTTTGAATAATGTAATCCTCCAACGAATATGAGCATGTGGAAGACCAAATTTGAAATTTGGAATTTGTTTTATGATCGATTTCCTATTTTTTAAAACTTTGACGAATTTTTGATTAACAAACTCAAGGATTTCAAAGCGAGCAATGGCAACGTTGTGCAGAAAAAACATTTATATCTCCAGCTCGTGAGTCTCTGTATCGGAAATTCTAAAGATATGCTCATTTTAAAACTATTTTGCGATATTGCTGTTGCAATGGATCTTATGGTTTAAGTACGAAGAACATGATATTTAATAAAGAAAGGTAACACACAAAATGTTAAAAAACGCCCCTTTGGACGTAATTTAAAATCTGAAACATTTCAGATTTTGTTTGTTTTATTTTTATTTTTAAATTTATCTCAAACGCATATTTTTCTCTTTATTTCTCTTTAGTTTTTGCATGCTCATTTAGCATAAGGATGGCTATGTTGTACTTTGGTGTTAATTTTTTAAAATTAAACATTTGTTTTTCTTACAAATATTTTTTTATTGGTAAATAATTTGTTCCCTCTCTTATATTGCTTTTTTCATATTCTTTTGCATGTTTTACTATCTGTGTGACAATGGGGTGGTTCTGTCATTCAATGCTATGTTTTTAATGGTCTAATTCTTATTTAATGGGTGGAATTCATTTAAGATTTGCAATAAAAAGTGATGTCAACCTGTGAAATCAAACTATTGCATGTATATTTAGCTCTTTTTGCATGCTTTTATTTACTAATGTTTTCTTTAATGTTACCTATAATTTTTTTCCTTGCTTATTATTGCAATTTCTCACTTGGTTTAGTGGTTTGAAACTCTCCTTTTTTACATAAGACTTATTTGAATTTCATTCTGCAATAAGTATGCTGTTATAAAAATTTTCTGTTTTTCATATAACCTTTATATCAACTTGAGTATTTTATTTTGGATTGGTATTATTATTATTATTATTATTATTATTATTATTATTATTATAATTCATAGAGAGTTTCTACCCATTTCAGTAAGAAAGAAGCTGTTTATTCAGTTCAAGGTATAATCCTTTTCGCAATTGCTTAGAGTTATCCTTTTAATTATTATTTAATGTTTTATATGTATGTGTGTTATTTTTCATTGCTATCATTTCTTTCATAAGCATATGATTTGCTGATGTTTTCATGTGCAATTCTTTTTAATTTTGTATATAACTAACTACAGATGCCATTCCAACTTTTACAAGGTTTGGGGGGGAGTAAAAAATTGCTATTACCTATTTTTGCAGACAAAATTTTGTTAGATTTATGTAAAAAAAAAAAAAAAAAAAACTATGTCAGAATTTGTTAGTGAAATCAAATTTCTACAAACAAAAGTGGATGCTGATGTTGTTTTGTTTTGCTGGCATTTATGTTCATTTGTATAGAAAAATCTCTCATTTGTCTCTTTCTTATGGAGAGCAAAAAATAATACAAAGTAATAATAATTTACAGCAATAATTTATCTTGACTATTATGGGGAAATCCAAACAAGATATGAAACAATGCATAAATCCTACAGTAAAAATCCAGTGTATAGATAATGTAATTTGAATGAATTTCTACAATGAAAAAAACTGAAACAAATCACCAAGCTAGCATGTAATTTGTAAAAAATTTAAGTTTATGTTGAAAAAATTAAATATAGATGAAAATCAGGTGTTAAACCAATTAATACTAGGAGGAATTATGCTATCTTCAATGTAAGTAATATAAAGCTATCATCAAAACTAGCAGTTGTATTTTTGATCTTCAGTGAAGATCAAAAGTGAGTTGATGAAAATAATAATTTATAATGTGACCTTATTTTGAAAATTGGAATATGGTAACACTAAGTATTCACTACATGTTACCTTCACCAATATGATAAAAACATTCAATTACTAGCAAATTGGCCAATTAGCGCCTTTTATTTAAATATTGTATATTTTTCAGGCTTTTTTTTAATAACATAATGTTGTGTACTTTTCTATTGTAGAAAAATTATGATCCTTTTATATATGGACAGTAAAATTATGTATTTTAATCCATTTTATTTTAATAGTGTTAAGCAAGTTATTCTCCATGTCGGTCTTTTTATATCAAACAAAAATTTATAAAAAGGAAATTATCCATTTGAATTGTATAGGTTTCCAGATCCAAAGGCAATATCCCCTCCTCCTGAAAAAATAGTAAAAAAGAAGGAACTGCAAAGGAAAACTATTTGTCTATATGATATGATTCAAGCAAGGAACATTTTTCTGACTTAGCCAGTGTCAGCTGTATTAAGAGAGAATGAAAGAAAACAAAACAAAATCTCTTGCTTACTTCCCCTTCTAATTTTGATGTATTTTGTCCTGAAATTAACAGATTTGTAATGAACAAAATTCTCTTAGGCAAAATAATGTTCCTTCCTGCTTAATTTTAATTTGTTTATGTTATAAGATTATGGTATTTGTTTTGATGAATTGTAAATTGAACTGAAATTCTTTTCCTAGATTGGATCAAATTCAGCTTATTTTCTAACCTTCTATTAAAAAGTGAAAAGTAAATGTGGCTAATCTTTCTCTTTTCTTTTTGGTTGTTTTGAATCTTTCATATTTAGGATTAGGAGAAAATAGTTTTCCTTGTTTACAGTATTACAGCTAAAGATAAATGATATCACTTTAAACGATGTGATTCATTTTCTTGATAAACCGTCAGGAGTGTTATTTAAAGTAAAAACAGTGAGCATATACCATACTTATTTAAGTAGTGGTACTGGCTTCTTCTTTTTAAGCATTAAAGTTAGATTGTCCTTTTATGTTATTCTCTTTATTAACTTATTAAGAACTGAAGAAAAAAAAATTACCTTTTTTTTTTTTTTTAATGTGCATTGCATCATAATTTTGAAGTGTGTGTTTTTACAGTTATTTTATTTGCTATAAAATATTTATTCAATTTTTATTGTTTTGATAATGTTTCTTATTGGAAAACTTCAAAATTAAGGAATTTTGTTGTCTGTAGGGTAGTGCAACATCTCAAAATGTGCTATCATCTAAATACCGATATACTTCATTGCCAGATTATCCTCTGAGGAAACATTCTTTGCCATCTTCATCTTTATACAAGAATGATGTTTCTGCTAGTGGAATGTATTATGGAAACTCTCATCTGTTGGTAAAAAAAATTATCATCATAATAGTTTTTGGAATGTGTTGTTTTTTTTTTTTTTTCCCAAAACTTGAAGCTTTTATTTTAAGTTATCTAAAATGATTGATATTTGTATCATTGTGCTTATATCAGGACATCTAATTATTGTACACATTAAATTCATATTTAATATGTACATAATTCCTTATGCAGCCTTTATTTTTGCAACTGTTGTCTTGGATCTATTGTCCCAATTACAAAAATGTTTTAACTAAGGAAAATATTTAAGTTCTGGTATTTTTTAAATTAAAAAAAAATCTATTTGTATAATTTAGGAAATCTTATCTTTTTATATGGCCCTAGACCCAAATTATATTTAATAATAAAAATTTTGTATTTATTTTTTAAAAAATACACATGCAATTCGGAAACTAACCTCTGTTTCACTGTTAATAAAAAACCACATAGATTCAACAAATTTTTTATTTACCTCTGAAAGGTACAGTTGTCCTCACTTTTTCAACACAGTCGCATGTATATTCAAATATTTGCCATAGCATTTTACCAACTTGCTTTTCCCTTCTGCATAAAACTGAACTGCCTGCGAGTGTAACCAACTTGCCACAGCAGTCTTAAGTTTCTTGTCGTCGGCAAAGTGTACCAAGCCACTTTTTCATTGCACGGAATAGATGTTAATCAGAAGGAACTAAGTCTTGGCTGCAGGAGAGGGATATTGAAACACATCCAATTTAAATTGGTGCGAGAAATGTTCAGAAATTATTGTGAAAGTTCCGAGATTGTGAATCCACAGATATGACAGATTTTGCTGTCAATTAATTTTACGACGTCATCACTCACTACATACAATTTCCCACTTCTTGAATTTGTCATAAATGTTTGTTCTTCCTTCTGTGAAAAATCTCATCCACTGACACATTGCACCTTTAGTCATAATGCTCAGGCTGTATACGACATGCAGTTAATGATAAATATCTGCTGCTGACAGTTTTTATGTCCAAAGAAATTGTATTACTCTTTTTACCTTGTATTTGGCAGAATTTTCAATAGTGGAGCATATTTTGTGACGTTTAACCAACACATGTAGGGCAGTACAACATTCTCTCTGGGATAACAGGAAGCTTACTGAATCACAGATTGCTTGGTGTAACAATTGTTGTGTTCCACCCACCACTATTAGCGCCATGCCACAGTGGAAGTTAGTTCCTGAATTGTCCTCGTAAAATAAAAGTAGATTTGATTCTCGTACAAAAAAAAAAAAAAAAAAAAAAAAGTTGAAACATTTAATTTTAAAATTTAAGACTGTTTCAAGGCTCATATGCAAAATGAAGTGTGAAATATATTTAAATTTTGTTCATAATTAAAAATAAAACATTGGTTTAAGAAAAGATTTCTGTTGTTAATAGTTATAACAATTAGCTATAACAATATAACAGTAGCTATAACAAGCTACTGTTATATTGTTATAGCTAATTGTTATAACTATTAACTTATTATAATTGTTGTTTGGTGAAAAATTAAAAAAAATTCTAATCATTGAAATTAAATAGTATTTATTAATTTTCATTGTGTGCTTGGCAAACCTTTTCTACTTTAATTTTTAGAATAAATAAGAACATTTATTAAATAAAATTAAATTAACCAAGAGACCATAAAAAATTTTAATTGGTTAAAAAAAAGTTTAAAAAGACAAATGTAACCATAAGTACATAACTGTGATCAATGGTTGCAAAAATAAAGATTGCATAAGGACTTTTACTGAGATGATGGATATTTCATACATGCAAAACTATTTGAATACACTTAATTCTCATGAATAGATGTGGTAGTGCTAGATATAAGATATTTAAGGGATTTCATAAATTTGTGTAAAGAATAGTATAATAAAATATAATTAATTAACCCTAATATGTATTTAATTGCTGCTGTATTTAAAACTGGTATGAACCTTAAATTTAGAGTTGCATTATTCTGAAGCAAAAGTTCATCAAAAATTTCTTATATGTACAGCCTATCGTATACTCTCCATGAATTCAAGTTCATTGGAAGATTATTCAGTCATTCTTGACTGGGATTGATTCTCTTTACAAATTTATGTAAACACGACAACTATTTAGGAAACTATTAAAAATGTAGGGATAGAATTCTAAATTTTTTAATTAAAATACTGAAATAAAAACTTTGCCAAAAAAATGAAACTAAACTAGTTAGAAAGCATACTCACTAAAACTACATGTTAATGCGGTTTAACACATGATACAATTTTATATTTTTAATCTGTCATTTCAGTTTTCTTTAAGCATAGCGTACATATGAATGAAGACAGAAGAGAAACACATGAAAGTAAAACAAATTAGCAAAGCAGCAATCTTATGTTTGCCGTAGGTTTAGTCGAGATTAAACCTATGCTAAGCTCAGGGTTGTTGCTTTGCTGTGAATCAGTTTCCTTAGACAGTCCTCATAAAAGCAGTCTTTTTTAAATGGATAGCCAAGTACTTTAATAAATGTTGGTCTAATGCCAAAAATTCCTATTAATTTTTTATTAAAAATTCAACAAGATGAGATTATCTGGTACCTTTCTGCCAGGTGGTTTAGGGAAAATAAAATATCAAAATGTTGCCTTATTTTGTGAGTAACTTTTAAAATTACTATTAAAAAGGCATGAAGAAATATAAATGAGTAGAAGGTGCATATACAAAAGGTCTATGATTCTACTCATAAACATATGAGAAATACCTCATAATCATAGCAAATGCTTAAAAATTAAGCTTTTTTCCCCCCTTCCCCTCTCTTTTAAGCATAATGCAAAATAATACCAAGAAATCAACATTTAATGTTCCGTTTTATAGATTTGTATGTCAAATTTTATAGCAAGAAAAAACCTGAGGTTTGCAGACAGACATTTATTTTTGTCATTTATTTAAATATTAATTTCAAAATACTGATCCATAAAACAAATGTTGTAAAGTTATCTTTCTAAAGTACTTTTAAATTTCTTTAAATAAAAATAATGTAAATAAAATGCAGCATGTTTCAAAATATGCTGTGCAGAATTCTGAATTATTTTTAATTAATCTTTTGAAATCGAAATATATTAATAATGTTCTTCAATTTAAAACCTTACATTTTTGTACTTTTTTACGTATATCAGATAATTTCATTTGATACTAGGTCTTTGCTGTGGCTCTGTTCTTAAACTGAAATCTACAGAAAAACTAAATTTGATGCAAAAAATAAAATAGAAACAAAATATTAATTACAATTATGATTTTTTCAGATTACCAAAATAAATTATTTCTTTTTTGCTAACCTCTATTCTATGTACAGTGGAATTGCCGTTATTTGGATTAACCTGTATTATTTAATTTCAACAAAGACTTAAGAAAGGCACCTTCTTTGTATTATTAAGTTAATGATATTAAAAGTATGCTTAATAGCAAATTAAATTGTACTTGGAATAAAGAAAAATTAATAATCAGGTTTATTGAAGTTCTGGATAACTGTATCTTCTTTGTTAATTTAATTAATAAAGCTAATATTTGTTTTGACCTAGGGACCATGGTCAAAGCATTTCTATCCTTTAGGTAATGCATGGAACAGCCATTCTGAAATGCTGCATAATCGTAAGTGTTTCTTCATTATTAACTTTTTATTAGAAAATTTAAATTTATATTTTGAAGTATTAATATCTCTTTTTAAAGTTTAAGTCAATTTTATATTTATTTTAATTGAAGAAATATAATCATTACAATGATTAAATTCATATTTTTCTTAAAAACACAGATTTATATATTGCTATATTGTTATTGACACTGCCTTTAACAGGGTTCGTACGGTCCTTAAGAGTCCTTAAAAGTCCTTAATTTTTTTGGAAACCATTTTTGGTCCTTAAAAGTCCTTAATTTTGGCCAAAATCAACAGAAGGTCCTTAATTTTAATCATCTGAAATTTCTGTCTCTTTTTACAATTGCGATTTTGAGTGTGAATTAGCATTTTGGAGGAATATTTTCGGCGATTCACTGGCATATATGGTTATCTTTTGAATGGGTTTATGGGTTATAATTTGTTTCTATTTCTAATATAATTGATGGGATACTCGAGTTTCTAAGCAAGAAGTGAGATATAAGCATTTCGAAATTCATTTTTTCTAATAAAGAGTTCTTAAAATACTTTTCGCTTTTGGAGATGTGAATTCTTTTATTAAACGGTTGTAAATTTGGCGACTGTGAGCTGTAAATGATTTTGTTAGCATCAGAACATGCCTTTGTATTCTAAGTTCTTTTTATATAGGAAGCTTATTTAAACCTTTGTCTGATATTTTATGTAATATTCAGACATAGCGATAGTTTGCTTCACATCAGTTGGGTTTTCGACTATTTAACTTTTACCAGATCAAGTAAACCCTCATAGGTACATTGTGGAGAGGTTGACAAGTTAGGAGATAAAGCAGTTAGGTTGAAGGAGATAAAGCAGTTAGGTTGATGCAGAAACTAGCGAGAGCATTGGTTAGCATTTTGAGACAAATCTCTTAACTTGTTAGAAAAGATGCTTAAAGAAAAGGAAGGAAATCGATATAAACTAGCCAAAGTGTTTGAGGAAGGCTTCAAATTAAAATAACGGATAAATATTTTGTTTAGTGTTGTTGCTACAAAACATAAATGTTTTGTAGCTTTTAATGTGTAATTATCTTAATATCATTTAAGAATCAATGTTATAAATTACATGTATTTTAAACTGTAAAATTTGATTAGATTTTGATTTTAATAGGGCTTTTTTAACAAATATTGTTAAAAAATAAAATTTAATTGTGGCCATGTAAATCCATAATGACTAAGGTTATCTAATTACCTAATTTAATTATTTATAACTAACTGCTTACCCTTAAAAATTATCTCTACGTATTAAAGTGAGTTATTGCCTTTCATTAATTTTCACTGTGGTCACAAGATAAAACACAAAAACTTAAAAATTCAAGTAAAACTTATTCTTTGCATCTAGTGAGACTTAAAATAATACAAAACTACTTATCACCTCTGGTTCTTTAATGGCTTATTGGAACCTTAAAGTATATTAACTGGGTTACAACCCCTGAAACTCTACACGAAGCTACGACACTAACTGCAGCAAACAGAGCCCGACTAACTTTCAACACTTGCGAAACTACATCAGGACATCTGCCTACATCAGGCTTTTCAGGTTTGTTCTAATGAGCAAGTCTCTCTCTAGACAAGCAGCAGAAGTAACAACATTCAGTCTTTTGTTCTGAATCATGCTGATTATGATCTTACTTCTCATTTTAACCTATGCCGTTTGACATAAAATCTACCTGCTATTTACTCAACCTCTAGACTGACCAAGTACGTGACAAAATGAGACATTTAAAAAAATCAGCATAAAGCTAACTTTGAGTAAAACGTAAATGTCACTTATCTTCTTTCAAATATGTCCATCTGTTGTAAGTGTAAAATATTTAATGCTATTTGATAAATTGCATAAAGTTTATTTTATTCTCAAACTTATTAATCATTATGTTAATTAATTCATGTTTAGTAATAATGCAGACTACTTAGAGATCTATTTTATTTTTAGGATGATATCACAAAAGTGAAATTCAGGCATAGATAATATTTTTAATTGAATTTATTCAGTTCCCATTTGCTCATAGGTCCTTAAATTTTTCATAAATGGTTCTTAAAAGTCCTTAAAAGTACTTAATTTTCGTGTGCAGAAATGTGTACGAACCCTGCTTTAACATTAAAAACTTATCCAAATCTGTATTTTCTTATGTTTTATGATTTTTTACTGTCACTATTTTTATAATTGTTTTTACTTTCATTTTTCAGTATGTTGCTATATGTCACTTCGCTGAAAAATTATTAATTATTCTGCTCTGAAATTTGCTGAAAATATTTTTAACTGAATCTGAAAATTGAATAATGCATTTAAAGCAACTCCTTTGATTTATTTTGTTTTCTCTTGATAAAGAAAATGAAATTATTCTTCTCATTTTAAGAAGAGGTAAAGAACAGTAGGAGGCCCAGTGGTCCAGTGGCTAGCGCATCATGCAGCAGCACCACAGGTCCGGGGCTTGATCCTCAGGCTGGGCAAGGTTGACTCAGCCTTTCATCCCTTGGGTCGATAAAATGAGTACCAAGTTTGCTTGGGGACTAAAGATTTGGCGTCCTGTGACAAGCTGACCACTTGTTCAAAGAAGTATGCTTACGCACCCCGGGGCCCACGGTCAAGAAAGCAGATTTTGGGGCACTGCTGGCCTTGGCCCACTAGGGCTGTTGCGCCACCGAGTTCAGTTCAGTACAATAGTTTTTAATTTATTAATAACTTAAAAAACTTGAATTCAAGATAATAGCAAATTATCTGTTACAGCTTGAACATTAGAAAATTAAACTTATTGCTGAAACAAATTTTTGTAAATTATTATTTTTTGATAGATAATTCATGCTTTCATAAAGTTTCAGTTTCGGCAAAGGATTTTCAGACTGAGCAGATTATCACAAATGAAAAAAATAAAGCAGATTAGCAGTTTTTATCTGGTGACAAATTTATAACTTGAAATGCAAAATAATTTAGAGACATACATAGTGACTGCTTTAAATGTATGCTGTTGGCTATTCAAATTGCAACATCATTAAACTTAAGTTTATTTTACAGATTCTTTATTTTCCAAAATTGAAATCATTAAAATTTCAAAATGTTTGACAAATAGAATATATTACAATCATTACTGAATATATCAATCATGAGAAGCAAAAGCCATTATTATGTGGTGAGGCATAGAACCGAGTAGTATTTTGGGATATTGCAATCCACGGAACTGTAATTCAGCTCCTGTAGCCACTGGTGGTCTCTGTGATGCTAGTGTGTGTGATATCATAAACCAAAGATGCTCAATTACAATAAGATTTGATACAGAACCATAACTTACTGTGTGTTGAGGAAGTGTTATATGTTGAATATGACATATTCTCAGGCATTGGCCTGTTGGAAAATGCATTTTGAGTAATTTTGAAAGTATGGAGAAACCAGGAATGCTGTAATGTAACACTGAATGGTCAGAATGCCAAATATGAGCAGAACTCAGCCAGTCACATCCCATACTATAACTTTCACTGCTGTGCTGGTATAATAAAATATAAGGCAGACTTCCAGTGGGTGCTTGCAGTGATGGTGTCATACATGTAGATGCTCATTATGCTGATGCATTCTTGTAAAATAACACTATCATTGTCATTTATCTATGCATGCAATATAATTTTGTGTGCCTTTGCAGCCAGATGTTTATGTTATACTTAAAGGCAAAGAAATAGCTGCTCTGCAAATAAAGACCATCATCCTCAAGATGATATTTCATTATACATATAGATACTTCGTGCCATGCCAATCACTTAAATACTTGCCATAAGGTGAAAGGCATCCACTTAGATGATAAGAACAGGTCATTAACTTGTTTGTCTGTCCTTTTGGCATTGTTACATAAAGCTCATTTTAACCTATAATATTATTTATTTTTCCTGGATCCATTTGTTCCATATTCACTTGTCTATGGTCAGAATTTGGCCAACACAAATAGCAATTTGATGGTATGATAACCTATAATCATTACACCTTAATTATTCTCCCAAGATCAAATTTGGACACATGTTTCTGTATGTTCTATATTCTCACTTAATAAATATTCTATATTTCTAGTTAAAAAAATAAAATGGAGAAGAACATAAAGTTTCTAAATATTTGTTAACTTATTGTGGAACTGAAATTGGCTTTTTAAATAGCTATTGAAGTTGCTAAACTTGTTCTGTATTTGTTTAAATAATTCTTCTATATTTAATCTCTATTATTAATTAATAATAAAAAATCTGTATACATGTATGTATGTTTTCACATTGTGGGAAAAGGGTGGCACCTAGAGCCACCAAATTGTGAGTACTCAGTCCTGCACTAAAACATGTGCACCTCGAAACCCAAATTATCTTCCATGTGCCAATGTGTAGCCATTCAGCAAAGCATCATTATTTTTTACTTATTTAATTGTTTTTTTTTTTTTCCAATTTCAGTGTATCTGTTATTGATTAACAAACTGAGTAATTTAAATGCAAGCCCCTGAAATTACACTAGGTGGACTCATTCAAGTCATTTTGTGTACTATTTTCAGGGGCAGGCTGTGCATTTGACTAGAAGCATGTATAGCTAATCATACCCTGTGTAATTATATTATGGTTGCTTTCTTTTTATATCAACTGCTTTTCTTATTAAGGTGCTGTTGAAAACAAAGAAGTTGTTGAACACATGTCTAAAAGTAAAAAGAAATTGCCAATAATTGATCCTAGAACTGGAAAAAATGTTTTGGAAGCTGTCAATAAATTTTCATCTCCACCTCAAGACAAAGAATTGCCTGTAAGTGATGCAACTAAATTTTCATTTTGAGCTGAGAATAGTAACATTAGGAAACTTCCAGTCTATTCAGATTTTTTTACATGTTATATTTATTTTCTTTTATAAATCATTGTTTAAGAATAATCTAAATATTTGCTTTGGTATTTTCTGATTATCTGCAATCCTTACCGAAAATCTGCAAAAAAGTATTGATGAGATAATGTACTGTATTGCCAAAAAATTTTTATATAGTGACCAAGGTCTCATATAGCATCCCCCCCAGCAGTTTTGCCAGTGTGACTAAAAATTAAGATGTTTTTTACTGCATACTGCAGTTTTTATCATCTTCAGCAGATTTTTGGGCTTAGTTTGCTGCATACATAGAGCACAATGTAATTCGTAGAGAAACCTGATGCACCTTTTTCTTTCTCATTTTAGGATTTGGGTTCCAAGGATGTGTGCATTGCCCAGTTTGTGCAATTCTTTATCCCCCCAACAAAAACATATTGCTGTGTACATGGGGGAAATGGACTGCTGACCGCAAAGAAGTTTCCTTGTACACAACATGGAAATCCATGCTGTGTACAAGGAAATGTGTAGATGGGATACACATAAAACCAAGAAGAGTGCGTGTTTTGTATCGGAAAAGAAGAATGTAAAAAAGTAGGCAGAACTGGCTGCATCATTAAAATAGACGTGAAGATGACCAAATATTTCTCTCCAAAGTCAGCAACAAGTTTGCAACTTTTGAGTTGAACATGCAGATGATCAGAAAGTACTGTTGGTGTTTTAATTTCAAACATGCTGATACACTGGTATTAAAAATGAAATTTTTGAAAACTTTTTAATCACAATTAATTTTTTTAATCCTATAACAAATATTGCCATTTATATCAGTTAATGCGATTTATCTTTACATTTTATTATTTTTTCAGTAAAATATTTTGTTTTCGTATTTCAGTCCTGGTTGAGAAATCATTTTTATTATCTTTAAGTCAATCAGTGGTGTAATCAGACAAAACTAAATAATAAAACAATTTTTATGATTTCTGAGTAATAAATTGTATCTGAGTGTTAAAGCTGTTCATAATTGTTAGCATAGAGAGTTTAATCTTCCTAAATATTCATTCCCATATAATGTAATCTATCTTATATAAGAGATGTTATATAAATTTTAAACATGGGAAAAAAACTATTTATTACTGATTTTATATATTTGTGGGTATTGTAGAGGCTGATATTTCATTTGTTGGAGGGGAGGGTTAGATTTTAAAACCTTATATAGCACTTATTCTTAAGAACTTTCTAAAACGTTAATATCTCAGATTTTCATTTAATAATAGATACTCAAATAATGTTCATATTAGCTCACAAAGATTATTTTTCAATCATTTACATTTTTATTAACATGATTTCATACTTCTGTGTAAATAAAGGAATTAGATGATAATTATTTTACAAAAGAAATTTTATCTAAAGTTATTAGTGTAAATTCATACAGTATTAAAAAAATGTAATACTTTCTGATTACCGACATCTTATTTCCTACTAAAAAATCCCAAACTAGGTTATGACTGTTAATGTGCAAATCACGAAGTTAATGTGCAAAAGTCAGCAGCTGTTTTCAAAATGGTGAAGTGCTAAAAATTCAATACATGATACTGCCAATCATGATAATGCCATAAAGCAGTCAGTCAATAAAATTAAAAAATCTGATGTGTACACCACATGACTTCCTTGTACGGAATTAAATTATACGTTATTTTCCTGCATTTCATTTAAACATATTGAATTAACAGTTAACGAATTTTGAATTAAATCTACTTCGTGGATAGTGCATAAACCACAATAGAATAAATGCACCCTTTCACTTTCTTTAAAGTTCATTATATTTATTTATCATAGTGACACTTTGGTGCTAGGTTTACTTAACAATCTTACATCTCATTCATTTTATAACTTGGAGTACATAAAAGTTATGTCATTTGAAGAACTACCACAAGTTCTATTCAAATACTTAATAAATCTAAAATGATGTATAAAAGAAATTAAACAAATAAAAAAGAAACAGTTTTTCACAGACGATTCAGCGACGCTTACCTAATGCACGTGCACTACTAATTAATTCACTTTGCGGCAAGGCAAAATACATAAAAATTCAAATTAGTTTCACTAAAATTTGAAGAATATACAAAAGCATAAAATGCAAAGTATAGTTAAAACAATTTAAAAAAAAACAATTTTTACAATTAAAATTACAGTTTCAACGCAAAAATAAGCTAATAACTTAAACGATAATTCTAGAATGAATTAAACATAATTTAATTTGCAATAATAAAAGAAGACGTTACTTTCTTGTTGCGAAGCTTAGTTTCTCTAGACTGACATATAATCCACTATTCTGCAAGTTTCAAATGTAAACAAATATGGCGGCCATGGTAATCAAAAATTAGGCTTAGCCGCAATTAAAAAACTTTTAAATTGCTGATAATTCCACGATTATTGCAGGCAGTTTAACTAAATGCATAAAAATCTTAACCAGAATAGCATGATTCAATCATTTTCAAACCAGAAAATGCACAATTTACAAACACATAAGAATAAAGAAACTGAGATCACCGAACCCGGTAACAGATATAGGTGTATATATATATATATATATATATGCGTATATTTATGTACTTTTGGTGCGGCCCATTGCAACCAAAATACGAGGCGCACATCTACATGTTATAGCAGTCCTATATACAAAATTACAACATTCTGGGGCTAGTCATTTTTGAGTTATGCGAGATACATACATACATATGCACAGACGCCATGGAAATTTCTCTTCAGAATTCATTTTAAATCAGTTATATATATATTTTGTTGGAAAAGAGTTCTTTATTCTGTCCGTATGTAGGGATGTCACCCAAAAATATCATTAACTTGCATTGGATAGCTGTCAAAAAGTATATTTTCGTTGAAATATGATGCCGGAAGTTTTTTACAATTACAGTACTTCCTTTTTACTTCGTACAAGGAAGTAAAAAGCAAGAAACTTTGATAATAAAAACTTTTCAATAAATCCTTCTTTTTGTGCTGTTGTTCTTCCCATGTACACAGGATATCCCCCTTTTTTTGTTATTGTTCTCCCCATGTACACAGTGGTCTTTTATTCTTAATAAAAGCATCAGAGAATTGCACAAACTTGGCTCCATGTAACTTCTATATTGTGTACTGGTCATGCTATGCAAATAATGAATTGCCACATGAATACGCTAACATTGTGGGTTGCTGCATAACGCATAACTAGCATTTTGGCAGCATATTGTTTTGCCTCTTGAATACCTTTTCACTTTTTGGTGGGGGTGAATTATTAGAATGTATATTGTGAAGGTTATTCTTTACCCTCTCACTGTGTCCATCTTTTATCAAAATAGGTTCAAAAATTGTGTATTTTTTATCACATATTTCAAATCTACATACATTTTAGGGTTAAAATATACAAAAAATGTTTGTAAAAGAGTTTTTTTTCAATATAGAATTAGATCATAGAAAATGGTTGTCAGAATACTGAAATTGAAGAATAATGATATAAAAGGAAAATTTTGAAAATTAATATTGGTTAAATTATTACTTATTTTATAAAATATAAAGGCAAAACATATATATATACTAATGAAAATATTTGCATAATGTAATATTTTGCATATCAGTTTTGCACCACTGTCGAACGTTTTCAATAGAAACGGAATTTTCAGATTCATCACTATCTGCAGAGGAATCTGAGAAATTTTCATCAGTTTCGCTATAACTATCTTCAATATACTTGAAATCATAGTCAGAACTACTATCAGTGTCGAAAATACCGTCAGGAATATAGGTTATATCACTCGTGAAACGCTTCCTGCCAGACACCTTCGAACTCTGAAAAGCGCATGCAAAATGATACATTACATATTCTTATATATTTGGCAGAAATGTGGACAACTAACGCCATCTCTTAGCCCACATCTAAATAAACAATTAAACATCACAGAAAAGCCGAAAGGAAACCTTGAACGGGGTAAGAGCGGGTTGCACAGTTAAATAGATGGCAAAAATTTATCCCCGCGGATATCATGGGCTGCACAAATTTTGCTACATTTACATTGCCCGTGGAAATCGCGGGATGTGCAACAAGAAGGTTAAGCGTATTATGCAAGGTAAGATAAAATATGTGATAAGGGAGAAAATGTTTGCACATTAAATTTAAAAACTATATTTTATTGTGTTCAGAACATTTTAGGGCATAATTCCATCATTATGGAAAAAAAAAAAAAAAAACTGTTGAATCTTGTTTATTAGTGAGTTTGCTCCCTAAAACTAATCACTGCAATTTCAGGTATTTGAAAATTCTGTTTAGCTTTATTAGTCGGATTATTTTTAATTATCTTTAAGTTACTTAAAGTCTTATTCAAGTTTTTAATTTAAAGTTTTTTTAGTTATTACATTTTCTATGCTTGCTTCTACGATAGAATAATTATTTAAAAATTTTATTAGAAATCAATCATTCCCAGCAACACTAAAATTTATCATAGCTTATTATAATTTTTATTTATTTTTAACCTTTAAAATTTCTTCTGTACAATTTAATTGAAAAGGACTGCATAATATTTTGAAAAAGATTAGAATTTATGAAGATCAGCAGTTTCACAGAATATTAAATTGTATCTATTTTGGAATAAGAAATTGTTAAAAATAAAGTCAAACTGAAGACATGATTATACTATCTCACTTAGAACATTTTATGTGGTGATAATATTAAAATGCCTGATTAATTACTAAAATACAGTCTTGGGCATAATGTCATTTTGGCATTAAAATTTTGGAGCTGAAATCTAGTATTCCATTCACTCATTGAATAAATGTGCCAAATTTTTATAAAGAGTTTATTTTCTTTTAGAATTTTTTATGAGTAGTCCTGTGAGTTTGACAGCTTGAATGAAATTCTATTTTGCATTTTTTTCTTTTCTCATTATTAGTTGATAATTAAA